AATGGTTCAAGTTCTGTGAGGGACGTTTGAATGTTCTTTGTATTCTACGTCATGAAGGTAGAGGGAGCCACTTAGGATGTTAGGGTTATTGATGCGTGTGGGTCCCTCCCTTGGTGGGTCATTAGTACCTGTTGCATACCCCCGTGTGGAGGGGGGGGGGGGGGAAGGTGTGGTTTATGGACCAGCGACAGCATAAGCACCACCACAGCACAAACACCACCGCATTACAAACACCACCACATCACAAACACCACCACATCACAAACACCACCACAGCACAAACACCACCACAACACAAACACCACCACAACACAAACACCACAGCACAAACACCACATCACAAACACTACCACATCACAAACACTACCACATCACAAACACCACCACAGCACAAACACCACCACATCACAAACACCACCACATCACAAACACCACCACAGCACAAACACCACATCACAAACACCACCACATCACAAACACCACATCACAAACACCACCACATCACAAACACCACATCACAAACACCACCACATCACAAACACCACATCACAAACACTACCACATCACAAACACCACCACAGCACAAACACCACCACATCACAAACACCACCACATCACAAACACCACCACAGCACAAACACCACATCACAAACACTACCACATCACAAACACCACCACAGCACAAACACCACCACAGCACAAACACCACCACAGCACAAACACCACATCACAAACACCACCACATCACAAACACCACCACATCACAAACACCACCACATCACAAACACCACCACATCACAAACACCACCACATCACAAACACCACCACAGCACAAACACCACATCACAAACACCACATCACAAACACCACCACATCACAAACACCACCACATCACAAACACCACCACATCACAAACACCACCACATCACAAACACCACCACCACATCACAAACACCACCACCACATCACAAACACCACCACATCACAAACACCACCACAGCACAAACACCACCACAACACAAACAACACCACATCACAAACACCACCACATCACAAACACCACCACATCACAAACACCACCACATCACAAACACCACCACATCACAAACACCACCACATCACAAACACCACCACAGCACAAACAGCACATCACAAACACCACCACATCACAAACAGCACATCACAAACACCACCACAACACAAACATCACTACAGGTGTACACCACCACATCACCACATCACAAACATCACCACAACACAAACACCACCACAACACAAACATCACTACAGGTGTACACCACCACATCACAAACATCACCACATCACAAACACCACCACAACACAAACACCACCACAGCACAAACTGCACATCACAAACACCACCACAACACAAACATCACTACAGGTGTACACCACCACATCACCACATCACAAACATCACCACAACACAAACATCACTACAGGTGTACACCACCACATCACAAACACCACCACATCACAAACATCACCACATCACAAACATCACCACATCACAAACATCACCACAGGTGTACACCACCACATCACCACATCACAAACATCACCACAACACAAACACCACCACAACACAAACATCACTACAGGTGTACACCACCACATCACAAACACCACCACATCACAAACACCACCACAACACAAACACCCCCACATCACAAACACCACAACACAAACACCACCACATCACAAACACCACCAGATCACAAACACCCTCACATCACAAACAACACCACAACACAAACACCACCACAACAACACCAACACAAACACCACCACATCACAAACACCACCACATCACAAACACCACCACATCACAAACACCACCACAACACAAACACCACCACATCACAAACACCACCACATCACAAACACCACCACATCACAAACACCACCACATCACAAACACCACCACAACACAAACACCACCACAACACAAACACCACCACATCACAAACACCACCACATCACAAACACCACCACATCACAAACACCACCACATCACAAACACCACCACATCACAAACACCACCACATCACAAACACCACCACATCACTACACAACACCACAACACAAACCACCACATCACAAACACCACCACATCACAAACACCACCACATCACAAACACCACCACAACACAAACATCACCACAACACAAACACCACCACATCACAAACACCCCCACATCACAAACACCACCACATCACAAACACCACCACAACACAAACACCACCACAACACAAACATCACTACACAAACATCACTACACAAACACCACATCACAAACACCACATCACAAACACCACCACATCACAAACATCACCACAACACAAACATCACCACAACACAAACACCACCACATCACAAACACCCCCACATCACAAACATCACCACAACACAAACACCACCACATCACAAACACCACCACATCACAAACACCCCCACATCACAAACACCACCACATCACAAACACCACCACATCACAAACACCACCACATCACAAACACCACCACATCACAAACACCACCACATCACAAACACCACCACATCACAAACACCACCACATCACAAACACCACCACATCACAAACACCACCACATCACAAACACCACCACATCACAAACACCACCACATCACAAACACCACCACATCACAAACACCACCACATCACAAACACAACCACATCACAAACACCACCACATCACAAACACCACCACATCACAAACACCACCACATCACAAACACCACCACATCACAAACACCACCACATCACACACCACCACATCACAAACACCACACATCACAAACACCACCACCACATCACAAACACCACCCACATCACAAACACCCACCACATCACAAACACCACCACATCACAAACACCACCACATCACACATCACAAACACCACCACATCACAAACACCACCACATCACAAACACCACCACATCACACTGTAATATAGTGTGTATCATCTCTATATACAGTAATATTACTGTATATAGAGATGTAAATGATCTCCCGGAGGATATGTTTGCGGACGATGCTAAAATTATGAGAAGGATTAAGACAGAGGAGGACTGTTTGAGGCTTCAAGAAGACCTAGACAAGCTGCAGGAATGGTCGAACAAGTGGTTGTTAGAGGTTAGAGTTTAACCCAACCAAATGTAATGTAATGAAGATAGGTGTAGGGAGCAGGAGGCCAGATACAAGGTATCATCTGGGAGAGGAAATTCTTCAGGAGTCAGAGAAGGAAAAAGACTTGGGGGTTGATATCACGCCAGACCTGTCTCCTGCAGCACATATCAAGCGGATAACATCAGCGGCATATGCCAGGCTGGCCAACATACGAACGGCATTCAGAAACTTGTGTAAAGAATCATTCAGAACTTTGTATACCACATATGTCAGACCAATCCTGGAGTATGCAGCCCCAGCATGGTGTCCATATCTAGTCAAGGATAAGACTAAACTGGAAAAGGTTCAAAGGTTTGCCACCAGACTAGTACTCGAGCTGAGAGGTATGAGCTACGAGGAGAGACTACGGGAATTAAACCTCACTTCGTTGTAAGACAGAAGAGTTAGGGGGGACATGATCACCACATTCAAGATTCTGAAGGTAATTGATAGGGTAGATAAAGGCAGGCTATTTAACACAAGGGGCACACGCACAAGGGGACACAGGTGAAAACTGAGTGCCCAAATGAGCCACAGAGATATTAGAAAGAACTTTTTTAGTGTCAGAGTGGTTGACAAATGGAATGCATTAGGCAGTGATGTGGTGGAGGCTGACTCCATACACAGTTTCAAGTGTAGATATGATAGAGCCCAATAGGCTCGGGAATCTGTACACCTGTTGATTGACGGTTGAGAGGCGGGACCAAAGAGCCAGAGCTCAACCCCCGCAAACACAACTAGGTGAGTACAAGTAGGTGAGTACATCACAAACCCCACCACCACAGCACAAACACCACCATAGCACAAACACCACCGCATCACAAACACCACCACATCACAAACACCACCACATCACAAACACCACCACATCACAAACACCACCACATCACAAACACCACCACATCACAAACACCACCACATCACAAACACCACCACATAACAAACAACACCACATCACAAACACCAAGAGGTGTACCCCACTGTCCGGTGTACATTAACTAAGAGTTTCCATGGAGTGGTGTTGAGCACTAGTGTGTACTGGTGCTGGGTCCTGGGGTGTTGTGGTGGCCTTAACACTGACACACCCAGCCTGGTAACACTGTGTCCAGTGTCTTGGGTGTTGCTGCCTGCCACCACGAGCCCTCAGGTGCTTCCAGGAGCTCTCAGGTGCTCCCAGGAGCCCCCAAGAAGACCCCAGGTGCCCTTAGGAGCTCTCAGGAGCCCCCAGGTGCTCTCAGGAGCCTCCAGAAGCTTCCCCAGGTTCCCCCTTAAGTGTGTTAGTGACACAGCACCACGGAAGCAGTAAGAGAGTAAGCACGTCTTTTTAACTGTCATTAGGTTGTAAGAAGGTTGTAAGAAGGGTACAAGTCACAACAACGTTGTACTTGCTTGTGTGTGTTCAGTCCAGCCTCCTAAAATGGTAATACTAACAGCTAGTTACTATATATCCCAAATAATCTAACAGCCGCAAGTGTAACCTAAGAAGCTAACCTCACCTCTCCCAAGCACTCTAGGCCTAATTTCCGCTATCCTAGGCCTAATATAGTACAGACTAGGCCTAGACCTTGCTTTGGTTTTGCCTTTCGTGTTCTCTACAATATTAATAATACGAAACGGGAACTTTTTGGGGGTCGAACTCAAAATTCAAATTCGAAATTCAAAATTCCAAAACTGCCAACAATTCAAACTGTCTTTGTTTGACCGTTTGAGAGAGTTGAGGAGGCCAACCCCGACAGTGTACCCCACAACCTCGTCCCCCGCCCCTACAACCCCCGAGCTGAACCACTTACCTCTGAAGAAGTTAGTTGAGGTTGAGTTGAGTGAGCCGAAGGAGGAGGAGGCTGGAGCTGGTGCTGGGAGAGCGCGCGGGAGGAGCGACCTGACGGCGTGGCGGCTGGCGAGCGTGTGGTGGGAGCAGGCTGGTGGGCGTGGGCGGGCAGCAGGTCACAACACCGTGTGGCGGCAGAGTGTGGGCGGGGTGGTGGTCCTGGGCGTGGAGTAACGTCTTCCATGTTGGCGTCCCGTCACTCCTCTTATACCCGCCAGGCGCCGCCCCCGTGCCCACGCTGCTCCCGTCCTCTCACTCGCCTTCGTCCTCACTCCTTTTGTTTCGTCTTTCATCGGGATTCCAGGCTGCCATTTCTCTTCCCAGGTGTAAGATTCTGCAAAGGAGGCCCTAGCCACGCCCTCGCCAGCCCTAGCCACGCCCTCGCCAGCCCTAGCCACGCTCTCGCCAACCCTAGCCACGCCCACGTCACTGCCGTATTGATGAACGGTCTAAACCTTTAAATTATGTGAGTGAAAATTTAAGTCTTCAGCGGGCGCCATTTGTGACTGATACACGCCAACCCTCACCCGGAGGTGAGGACCAATAGGAACCCGCCTCGCGTATGACGTCATCCCCAAAGCGATCACAGACCAATCAGCTCTCGAGTTGATGTATGTCGTCACTAGATGCCTTGGCGGCAACCAATACAAGTGTGGGAAGAGCCACTAGAGAAGAATTATATAAACACCACGTGGATTTTGGGCGTGGGCGTGGGGCGTGGGGCGTGGGCGTGGGCGTGGGCGGTGTGGGGCGTGGGCGGGGTGGACTGAGTATCATGGGCGCTCTCAAGAACATTCTGGAGATTAGGAAAAGGCTTTGATAAAGAACACGAAAATAATCTTCATGTATTCAAACAAGTTAAAATATTCTTTCTAAAGTATGTCCTTAATCCTCACATTGTGTCCCTACCTAAATGTGCCCGCAGGACCAGGCTCTAGCTCCTGGGGCCCCGCATTGGTGAGCGTCTAATGTAATAGCTCCCGACCCTCCTGATGGTAGAACTACCTCTGAACCATGTGTGGAGGTAGTCTGGACTATCTGAACCATGTATGTAGATAGCCTGGACTATCTGAACCATGTATGTAGATAGCCTGGACTATCTGAACCATGTATGGAGATAACCTGTACTATTTGAACCATGTATGGAGATAGCCTGGACTATCTGAACCATGTATGGAGATAACCTGTACTATTTGAGCCATGTATGTAGATAGCCTGGACTATTTGAGCCATGTATAGAGATAACCTGGACTATTTGAGCCATGTATGTAGATAGCCTGGACTATTTGAGCCATGTATGTAGATAGCCTGGACTATTTGAGCCATGTATAGAGATAACCTGGACTATTTGAGCCATGTATGTAGATAGCCTGGACTATTTGAGCCATGTATGGAGATAGCCTGGACTATTTGAGCCATGTATGTAGATAGCCTGGACTATTTGAGCCATGTATGTAGATAACCTGGACTATTTGAGCCATGTATAGAGATAACCTGGACTATTTGAGCCATGTATGTAGATAGCCTGGACTATTTGAGCCATGTATGGAGATAACCTGGACTATTTGAGCCATGTATGTAGATAGCCTGGACTATTTGAGCCATGTATAGAGATAACCTGTACTATTTGAGCCATGTATGTAGATAGCCTGGACTATTTGAGCCATGTATGTAGATAGCCTGGACTATTTGAGCCATGTATGTAGATAGCCTGGACTATTTGAGCCATGTATAGAGATAACCTGTACTATTTGAGCCATGTATGTAGATAGCCTGGACTATCTGAACCATGTATGTAGATAGCCTGGACTATTTGAGCCATGTATGTAGATAGCCTGGACTATCTGAACCATGTATGTAGATAGCCTGGACTATTTGAGCCATGTATGTAGATAGCCTGGACTATTTGAGCCATGTATAGAGATAACCTGGACTATTTGAGCCATGTATGTAGATAGCCTGGACTATCTGAACCATGTATGTAGATAGCCTGGACTATTTGAGCCATGTATGTAGATAGCCTGGACTATTTGAGCCATGTATAGAGATAACCTGTACTATTTGAGCCATGTATGTAGATAGCCTGGACTATTTGAGCCATGTATAGAGATAACCTGTACTATCTGAACCATGTATGTAGATAGCCTGGACTATTTGAGCCATGTATGTAGATAGCCTGGACTATTTGAGCCATGTATAGAGATAACCTGTACTATTTGAGCCATGTATGTAGAAAGCCTGGACTATTTGAGCCATGTATGTAGATAGCCTGGACTATCTGAACCATGTATGTAGATAGCCTGGACTATTTGAGCCATGTATGGAGATAGCCTGGACTATCTGAACCATGTATGTAGATAGCCTGGACTATTTGAGCCATGTATGGAGATAGCCTGGACTATCTGAACCATGTATGTAGATAGCCTGGACTATTTGAGCCATGTATGGGATGTAACTATATAACCTGAACTTGTAAAAGCATCTTAATCACCTTCAGTAGTTAAGTGCTTACTAACACACTAGTTTCAATAGCGGCTATCTTACCCTGTCAACGTAGGAGAGACATAGGTGTATGTATGCATATGTGTATATTTGTATGTGTATATATATATATATATATATATATATATATATATATATATATATATATATATATATATATATATATATATATGTCGTACCTAGTAGCCAGAACGCGCTTCTCAGCCTACTTTGCAAGGCCCAATTTGCCTAATAAGCCAAGTTTTCATGAATTAATTGATTTTCGACTACCTAACCTATCTAACCTAACCTAACCTATAAAGATAGGTTAGGTAGGGTTGGTTAGGTTCGGTCATATATCTACGTTAATTTTAACTCCAATTACAAAAAAATTACCTCATACATAATGAAATGGGTAGCTTTATACTTTCATAAGAAAAAAATTAGAGAAATATATTAATTCAGGAAAACTTGGCTTATTAGGCAAATCGGGCCTTGCATAGTAGGCCAAGTACGACGTTCTGGCTACTAGGTACATATATATATATATATATATATATATATATATATATATATATATATATATGTCGTACCTAATAGCCAGAACGCACTTCTATGCCTACTATTCAAGGCCCGATTTGCCTAATAAGCCAAGTTTTCATGAATTAGTATATTTTCTCTAATTTTTTTCTTATGAAATTATAAAGCTACCCATTTCATTACGTATGACGTCAATTTTTTTTTATTGGAGTTAAAATTAATGTAGATATATGACCGAACCTAACCAACCCTACCTAACCTAACCTAACCTATCTTTATCGGTTAGGTTAGGTTAGGTAGCCGAAAACGTTAGGTTAGGTTAGGTTAGGTAGGTTAGGTAGTCGAAAAACAATTAATTCATGAAAACTTGGCTTATTAGGCAAATCGGGCCTTGAATAGTAGGCATAGAAGTGCGTTCTGGCTACTAGGTACGACATATATATATATATATATATATATATATATATATATATATATATATATATATATATATATATATATATATATATATATATATATATATGTCGTACCTAGTAGCCAGAACTCACTTCTCAGCCTACTATGCGAGGCCCGATTTGCCTAATAAGCCAAGTTTTACTGAATTAATATATTTTCTCTAATTTTTTTCTTATGAAATGATAAAGCTACCCATATCATTATGTATGAGGTCAATTTTTTTTTATTGGAGTTAAAATTAAAGTAGATATATGACCGAACCTAACCAACCCTACCTAACCTAACCTAACCTATCTTTATAGGTTAGGTTAGGTTAGGTAGCCGAAAACGTTAGGTTAGGTTAGGTTAGGTAGGTTAGGTTGTCGAAAAAACATTAATTCATGAAAACTAGGCTTATTAGGCAAATCGGGCCATGCATAGTAGGCTGAGAAGTGAGTTCTGGCTACTAGGTACGACATATATATATATATATATATATATATATATATATATATATATATTTCACCTTTGTAAAAGCATATTAATGACGCTTTATAAAAAGACACATCGAACACTGTTTATGTCGGACAGACGTAACTCTGTATTTATGTCTACAGGTTATATTACCATTATAAAAGCACCACAATCACCTTCTGTGGTTGAGTGTTCAATAAACCCCTGAACTATATGTTTAACAGATCTCTCCCCCTGTCCATGGAGGACAGAAGAAAATGTATATATGCTGGTTAGCATTGTTAATGTCCGGCCACGTCTGTGGTAGAAAACAATAATATTAAAACAAAAGAACTCCTCTATATCCGCCAGAGGCAATGTCTATAATGTGAGAGTATTGAATGGTAGACTAACAGGCTGTCAAGTGTTATAGTGATGACTCGGAATTAGGGACTTGGGCTGAGGTTAGGAGTCTAGGTGGTGACCAAGCAGGTCCAGTGGATGGTTGATTGGGGAGGAGTAGCCAATTTAACCCACTTGGGCATGATATGTTGTTAATTATTGTCAGAGTCTATTTTTATATCATTAAATTGGAAAACCCAACGGCAGTTAATCCGTATGTACAAATCCACAAGGGCCGTGACGAGGATTCGAACCTGCGTCCGGGAGCATCCCAGACACTGCCTGCTCCCGGACGCAGATTCGAATCCTCGTCACGGCCCCGTGTGGATTTGTTCATGTGATGCATCACGTTAGTGTGATCTCTGTGTGTAGTCCGCATGTTGTCTCATTGTGTTCCTGTACAACACCTCTTGGAACACCTCAAGGATCTGGCAGCAGCCCACTAGGCTGTCAACCCGTCCTCACTAGGCTGTCAACCCGTCCTCACACTAGGCTGTCAACCCGTCCTCACTAGGCTGTCAACCCGTCCTCACTAGGCTGTCAACCCGTCCTCACTAGGCTGTCAACCCGTCCTCACTAGGCTGTCAACCCGTCCTCATACTAGGCTGTCAACCCTTCCTCACTAGGCTGTCAACCCGTCCTCACTAGGCTGTCAACCCGTCCTCACACTAGGCTGTCAACCCGTCCTCACTAGGCTGTCAACCCGTCCTCACACTAGGCTGTCAACCCGTCCTCACTAGGCTGTCAACCCGTCCTCACACTAGGCTGTCAACCCGTCCTCACTAGGCTGTCAACCCGTCCTCACTAGGCTGTCAACCCGTCCTCATACTAGGCTGTCAACCCTTCCTCACTAGGCTGTCAACCCGTCCTCACTAGGCTGTCAACCCG